CCGGGGGGAGGGGGGCAGTATTCACTCATGTGCATTTGAGTGAGGGAGAGCGCCCAGCGTTCTAGGGAGCAGGGGGCCAGCCTTCGGAAGAGTGTAGACAATCATTTTGTAGGTCGGACGGGAGTCTCGTAGGAAAAGAGATATGGAGAATTCTAAACTTGTTCAGCCGGAAATAACAAGGCGTTCAGTAGCAAAGCGCGTGATGGATGCCAATTACTGTATCAACCGGAGACTGACCTTTAAACCTCTCCTTCGTACAAGTATGCCACACTAGAGCTGGAAGCCAAATTTTAGGAACAGCTAAACACACCAGGCGTAGGTTTCCTTTACAGTTTTTTCTCCATTTTTGCAAATGGACAAGAAATAGGAGGCAAAAAAGTTAATGAACCATCGAAGCTTGCCTTTTTTCAATTATGGCGTTGTAGCAAGTGACGAGGATTACTAATATCCCCGAGATGGTGTGACCGTGACTTGCGTCATGAGGTAAACTTTGGAAGCACCGGCCTCGCTCTCTATTTCCATCTTCGTCATGTTTCCATTGCAAGGCTAAAGCTGAGTTTGCGTCAGTGGGTGACGAGGTTGGAGTCAGACAAATCAGACATCAAAATAGCAAGTCTCCAATCTCACCTAAGCAAAATTGGCACAAGTGCCACATCAAGAATTCATTGTAATCTGACCCTTAGTACTTAGTAGGACCAGGTCATTCCATCAGTTGACCACACTTGTCTTATTCCTTATAGTGAGTAGCCGCCTAGGCACTGAACCTAAACTGCATTGACCTCCCTTTGTTCTCCCTTCCGTGTGCTAGTGTACTCTCAGCATTTAAGATAGGATGTAGTGGCAGACGTGGCGCAAAAGCTTTGTTTACCGCCCGTCATACTCACTGAAGCGCACTACACGCAGATTCACGGCTTGAGAAGATGCTTTGGATGCTGCTGACTTGTCTTAGCGGCCGTGTTTGTGCGCGCCAAAACGCTGCTGTTCTCCCACCTATCGAACAAATCGGACCATATTATCCATTGAAGAGACTCGCCGGATACCTTTAACTAATTTAGCCCACCAGCCAAAACGGTTGCTGGAGTTTGGCCGCTGTGCAAAGCACAGGTTCTTGAAGCCACAGCAAAGCTGAGTGTCTGGAAGGGTATTGTGGAATGACGAACGATACACACAAGAGGCTGCGGAATTTGACCAGCAATGCGGTTGCGTCAAGGTGGCTGTCGATGCGATTGCGCGCTTTGGCAGCTCTAATATAAAACCTGGGTCTATACGACCCAAAATACGGCTGATT